TTCTTTTCTAAGTCTTATTATTACTTGTAACTTTCTTTTCAAAGTCTTGTTATTACTTGTAACTTTCTTTTCTAAGTCTTATTATTACATGTAACTTTCTTTTCAGTTTTATTATTACATGTAACTTTCTTTTCTAAGTCTTATTATTACTTGTAACTTTCTTTTCAAAGTTTTATTATTACATGTAACTTTCTTTTCTAAGTCTTATTATTACTTGTAACTTTCTTTTCAAAGTATTATTATTACTTTCTTGAGGCTTATTGATTTTACTTTTCGGCTGTTATTACTTCCTGCTGCCTACTCGTTGCGTCTTGTTAAGTAACAGTATGTTTAACATATTGTTTTCTTTATATTACATTTAATATTGATATATTTTAATAACAGAACCAATGTTCTAGCTAATTTAATGTGCGATTCAGGTATTTATCTAATTTATTATTTTATATTTTTATGAACATTGATGTTTGGCCTTACTCTTGGTAATGTCGTGCTGCTTGACTCCAGTTAACACGTGCGGTAGAAATTTATCTCAGATGCTACCTTGCTCTTAAGTTACACCGTCGGAGCTGTCTTCATTCGCCACAAGATGTTTTCGGGGGGATTACGAAAATTGTCAACAAACAATAAATCTACGACTCTATTTGAAGTTAAAATTTAGTTTTTACTTGTTCCGTGGGTATACTCTATTATTCATTTAGTGTTACTTTTGTTAACACTATTTAATATATCTAATTTTTTGTAAAATTTCATAATTATACTTTGTTTTGCATTGTTAGCTTAATATATGTATTCGAGACTAGCCTAAGTCTCCTGAGCTAGCCAAGCATCGTGAGAAACTATTGGGTTTACGGCCGAAAATATACTTAATAACATGGTTACCAAACTGATGGCCTCCTAGTGGCACAGCGGCATATCTATGTCTTTTCAACGATAGAAACCAGGTTTCGATACCTGTGGTGGGCAGAGCACGGATAGCCCATCGTGTAGCTTTATGCTTAACTTCAAAACAAAACAAACAAACCAAACTGATGAAACAATGTACTGTAACCCTTATTCGTAAGAACTTAAGAAAAAGTGTGTATATTTAGCTATACTCCTTACCAGGTTGATTTTCAGTTTCGCTGAAATAAGCTAACTTGCTCTAATAGTAAATTAACATTAATTCATGGTTCGCATCCCGTTGCTTGTTTGTTTGTTTTTGGAATTTCGCGCAAAGCTACACGAGGGCTATCTGCGCTAGCCG